CTTTGGGTTTTGTTTGGAGGAATCTTTTCCGTGACTGGAAACTCCTTGCAACCAGACACCGAATTGTCACTCATTCACTCACATTTGGGGGTGAAATATACACACACACGGAAATGCCCGGATGGTAAGTGCTCAGGGCCATGCATTTCCCACAGTGAGCGCGGCCATGCGACCTGCACCCAGACAGGGAGCGGGACCCCTGGGAGTCCCCACCTTTGCAGAGGCTGCTCACGCTGACCCCCCGCAGGGACAGACCAGATCTTGACTCCAGCAGCAGAGGTTGGCCTCATCGGGTCGTCTGTAACCGTGGCTCAGTTACTCTGGTCCCGGTAGCAGGTAGCATCCCCAGTGGCCACACTGCCCGTTCTCCTGGCGTCTGGGCTGCTGCCCCCTGCTGGCCATTACTAGCCTCACTCTCCTGCTCGGCAGTTGGTGTTTTAAGTCACAGTTCCTCTGTGCTGGCATGACTGTTCTGGGCTTCTGGGCCCTCTGGCCGGTGTGGAAATGGCCAGGTGACCCCGAGCTGGAGCCCGCTGGGCGTGGACAGTGGGCAGATCCTGACCTGGCCCACGGGTTCTTGGCTAACTTGCTTTCTCCGCTTGTGCTCTGACCCCTCCTGCTCCCTCTCCGCCTGCCCTTCCACCCAGTCGCCTGCACACAAGATGAAAGACTCCAGCCCGCTGAGCAGCAGGAAGTTCTCGGAGAAGATGCACTTCCAGGCCATCCACAGCGAGCCGCCCGAAGCGTTTAGCGAGCCGTCGCCGCCGCTGGCCGAGGCGCCGTCTCCGCAGCCGCTTTTGGAGCAGAGCAAGCCTCAGACCGAGATGCAGTTTGTGAATGAGGAGGACGTGGAGGCCTTGGGAGCTGCAGCCCCGCCCCTGCCTGCCACCGAGGAGCCCAAAGCCCTCTCCGCCCTGGCGGCGAGCAAGACGGACTCGCCGTCTAGGAAGAAAGGTGCGGACGAGGCCGCTTCCCGCCCCTTCTGTGCCCGTGGGCACTGCCAGCTCCGGTCCTGCCTCCCAAGCTCAGAACATGGACCTGTGACGTCTGTCCTGTCCGGTCCCTGCCCTTTGGCCGAATATGTTAGTGAAGAGAATTCAGTCGTAGACGTGAATTCAGTCGTGTAGTGAGACGTGAAGGAGGTCTTGGGGGGTCGGGTGGTGAACCCTCACTTCACAGTCCGGGCGCTTCTGAGCTCCTCTGAACACCGGGCTTCAGTGGGTTCCCCAGAGGCGCTTGGAGGTCAGAGGTTGGAGGTCAGAGGTCGGGGGTCCCTGGGCGAGGCTCTGACCTGCTCCTTTGTTTGCAGACAAACGAAGCCGGCACCTTGGGGCGGACGGCGTCTACCTGGACGACCTCACGGACATGGATCCCGAAGTGGCCGCCCTGTATTTTCCCAAAAAGTAAACCTTTTTATTCCTCGGGCCTTGTTCCGTGATCTGAATAGGAATCTGTGCGAGTGGGCTTCCTCTGTAGACGTGTTGGGGGGAAAGTGGGGGGGTATCTCCACGCGGCTGGCTCCCCGCCGTCGGAGCAGGAAGGAGGCAGGAGGCAGTCTCCCCTGATGATGCGGAGGTTGTGTGTGGTGGTCAGTGACCCACTGATGATGTGGAGGTCGCGTTGTGGTGATCAGTGACATACCGATGACCCCGAGGTCGCGTTGTGGTCAGTGACCCACTGATGATGCGGAGGTTGTGTGTGGTGGTCAGTGACCCACTGATGACCTGGAGGTCGCGTTGTGGTGATCAGTGACATACCGATGACCCCGAGGTCGTGTGGTGGTCAGTGACCCGCTGATGATGTGGAGGTCGCGTTGTGGTGATCGTGGACATACCGATGACCCCGAGGTCGTGTGGTGGTCAGTGACCCGCTGATGATGTGGAGGTCGCGTTGTGGTGATCGTGGACATACCGATGACCCCGAGGTCGTGTGGTGGTCAGTGACCCGCTGATGATGTGGAGGTCGCGTTGTGGTGATCGTGGACATACCGATGACCCCGAGGTCGTGTGGTGGTCAGTGACCCGCTGATGATGTGGAGGTCGCGTTGTGGTGATCGTGGACATACCGATGACCCCGAGGTCGTGTGGTGGTCAGTGACCCACTGATGACCCCGAGGTCGCGTTGTGGTCAGTGACCCACTAATGACCCCGAGGCCGTGTTGTGGTGATCAGTGACTCACCGATGACCCCGAGGTCGCGTTGTGGTCAGTGACCCGCGTTGTGGGTCAGTGACATACTGATGACCCCGAGGTCACGTTGTGGTGGTCAGTGACATACCGATGACCCCGAGGTCGCGTTGTGGTGGTCAGTGACCCACAGCCCAATTCTGTGGCCAAGGCGGCAGCTGCGTGGCCCATCCTTAGTTCTCCTGGGGTTTGCAGGGAGCGCCAGGTCCACGGAGGGTGAAGCCCAGAGCTGTGACCTCTGAGGAGTGTGCCCGATCCCCTGTCTCTCCACGTGGGTTTGGGGGGATGCAGGGGATGTGGGAGCAGAAGCTGACTGTGCTCTCTGCTCCACAGCCCAATTCTGTGGCCAAGGCGGCAGCTGCGTGGCCCATCCTTAGTTCTCCTGGGGTTTGCAGGGAGCGCCAGGTCCACGGAGGGTGAAGCCCAGAGCTGTGACCTCTGAGGAGTGTGCCCGATCCCCTGTCTCTCCACGTGGGTTTGGGGGGATGCAGGGGATGTGGGAGCAGAAGCTGACTGTGCTCTCTGCTCGGAACGCCTTCAGCTTGTCTCTGTTCGGTGCTTTAATGAGAAGTCAGTCCCGGGATGGAGCCCTTTGCTCCGTGGGGGTCTCGGATTGGAGTCCTTTCACGTGTGTGTGAGACCCCAGACCAGGAGAATCCTCAGAACACCTTCCCCTCTTCCTCCTTCCAGCGGGGACCCTTCTGCGCTCCCCAAACATGCTGACAATGGAGCCCGGTCCGCCAACCAGTCCCCGCAGTCCGTGGGCAGCTCTGGGGCCGACAGTGGTGTGGAGAGCACCTCCGACGGCCTGAGGGACCTGCCTTCCATCGCCATCTCCCTCTGCGGCGGCCTCAGTGACAACAGGGAGATCACCAAAGGTACTCGCGCCTCGGAGCTGGTCCTCAGGCCAAGAGCACCCTCTGGTGGCGGCTGCTCAGAACGCCCGGAGGCCTGGCTTCCATCGTTAGATCCAGCCCGGCTGCCTCCTCTGCATTTGGTGAACAACAGCACATGTGACTCACTGTTGCTCACAACTCACGTGCTGCTGGCTTGCCCTTGGCGACCTTGGTTTGCCCTCGGCGACCTTGGCTTGCCCTCGACGACCTTGGGTTCTGGGGTTCACACGTGGCTTCAGGCAGCAGCCAGGCCCCCGGGGTCACGCGTTGTCAAGCGCACCTGCTGAGCCCGCCCGTGTGTCCTTGCCCCGTGCCAGTCCTGCGAGGCGTAGGGCCTGCAGCCCCGTGGGGGAGGCAGTGTTAGGGACCCGTGCACTGGAGGGGTGGGGGCAGCAACGCTGTGGGTGGAGGAGGGGCCCAGCTGGAGCTGAAAGGTGCTCCCAGGTTGGCATAGGGGGTGAATGGATTCATGGCGCCCATCAGAGTCATAAAGCGATGTCCCAGTCCCTGCAGTTACACGGTGAGGTGGCCCAGGATCCCAGCCGGTGCAGCCCATTCCCCGACATTCCCCGAGGAGACCTGGGGACTCACTTCCACCCCCCGTGGTCTGAATTGCTCGCAGGGAACGGGGTGGGTCCTGCACTTCTCCCGCTGCCTCTCATGAGCCACCTTCCTGCCCTGAGATGCCATCCTAGACCCTGTCTCCTCCTGAGGTCCCTTCACACTTGGTGGATTGCTTCCCACCAGAGACTGAGGCCCCTTATTCTGCCCTTATTCTGGCACCTTACCCCCCTGATCCATCACCCCAGTGATGAACTGAAGGTCGCCTCCTGACCTGGGGCTCCCTGCCAGCTCTGAGCGTGCGAGGCTGGGTCAGCGGCTGGGCCTCACACGGTCCCCTGCCCTTCCTGGGGATGACGGTGGTCAGCACCCCGCCTGCTGGCATTGAGCGAGCCCTTCTGTGAGGCCGGACACTGCCTTCTGCTCTCACCCCCACCCGTCCTCACAGTCCCGGCGGCAGGCGAGGGCGCTGAGGCTTGGGGAGCTGATGCGCTTGCCCAGGGTCACAGCAACGCTTGTCACTTAGACCTGCTCCCCCAGGTGTGTGTGCAGACTGTATTCCCACCCCTGCCCCGCAAGTGTAGGAACCCCCCCGAGGGGACGTTTCCCCACACCCTCCCTCCGCCCGGCCTCCCTTCGCTATGCACAGATGCTGCCCCCAGGCAAGGTGAAGGTCCTGCCCTTAGAGGTGCAGGTGAGGACTTCCTGCACGGGGCACGCACAGGGGAATGTGTAAACTCAGGAAGCTCACGGGAGCGCGAGCCAGTGAAATAGGCCTGTTCTTTGAACCCAATTGTCCTCATCTCTCCCTCTCCCCTGCCATTGCTTCCCAGACGCGTTTTTGGAACAAGCCGTGTCGTATCAACAGTTTGTGGACAACCCCGCCCTCATCGACGACCCCAACCTGGTGGTAAAGATCGGGAACAAGTATGTTCCTCCCGCGTCGTCTCGGCGGTGGCAGATGCCCGTTGGGTGTCAGCTTTCCAGACCGAGACCTGGACGGGGGGCCGCGGGCACTGTTCTAGACGTGCATTGTTTGCTATGAGTGTGTGTCCAGCTGTGTGACTGTCAGTGCGCTATGACAGTGACTGGCGCTCTGTGGCTGGTGGGCTGGTGGGATCCTGGGTCTTGTGGGTCCTAGTGCTCACCTGCACCGGATTTTATATGGAATGTGTACAGTCCCGGGCCTGGGAGACTTGGCCCGAGTGGCCCGCGGGGGTGACGGAACGGGCAGCGTGTCCCCCCTTGAGAGCCGGTCTGAGTCGGATGGGCAGGTGTTTCGTAGACGCTGCCAGACTCCCTGGGGGAAGGTGTGGGTGTTTGTGTGTTAAGCTAGGGGCTCTGGTTGCCTTTTCCTTGAAGCCCGGCCGGCGATGCCACAGGCTCTGCTGCCTGGACTGCCGCTCGCCTGCAGTGCGGCCACTGCAGAGGGGACATGAGGGGAGGCCGGGGTGCGGGCAACAGCTTGGGCTCTTCACGGACCCAGCTGGAGTTCCAGAACTTTCCACGGCCACGCCTCATGACATTGGCTTTTCGGTCTGGCCTTGGGTCTTTTAAAAGTTTTTTTTTTAAAATTATACATATTTTTATTGATTTTGGTGCAGAAGGGAGAGGGAGAGATAAAAACATGAATGATGAGAGAGAATCATGGATCGGCTGCCTCCTGCGTGCCCCTCACTGGGGATGGAGCCTGCAGTCGGGCAGGTGCCCTGACCAGGAATCTGTCTGTGAGCTCCTGCTTCATAGGTGGATGCTCAGCCACTGAGCCACGCCGGCCGGGCAGGCCTTGGTCCCTTGACGCTTCTTTCGTTGTTTCCTGTAGGTATTACAACTGGACCACGGCAGCCCCTCTGCTGCTGGCAATGCAGGCTTTCCAGAAACCTCTGCCAAAGGTGAGCTTGAACCCGAGAAAGACAGGGACACCAGAAACACGGGAGGTTGGGATTTAGATTTTATTTTTAAAACCACAAAGTTAATTATGTTGGGCTCTTTCGAAATTCCCAAGCATCAGGGTCAGGGGTTCGAATCTGCTTCTCTTGCCCCTCAGAGGCCACGGCTTCCCTTGCACCCTCTGTGCCCTTAGCAGGTGGTTGTCTGCTTCGGTGTCAGAGAATCCTGCTGCCTGGGCTCCCCAAGGTCTCATCTGACCTTGGAGAGTGTGCGCTCGCTCCTTCCTTGTGTGTTAGTGTGTGTACAAGTGTGAATGTGTGTGTGAGTATGAGTGTGTGTGAGTGTGACTGTGTGTGTGTGACTGTGTGTGTGTGAGAGTGTGTGTGTGTGACTGTGAGTGTGTATGTATGAGTGTGTTTGATGAGTCTATGCTCGCTCCTTGTGTGTGTGTTTATATGAGTATGTGTGTGTGTGAGAGGGTGCGTGTGTGTGTGTCCGGTAAGTCCATGCTCGCTCGTTCCTTGCGTGTGCGTGTGTGTGTGTGTGTGTGTGTGTGTGAGATTGTGTTTTGGGATTTGGGGATTGTGACCTATCTTTTGGGGTCTTTATCTGTGAGCATTCTTCGTGTTTATTCATGTACCAGCTGCCTTTTGAAAAGTCACTGTGGTTTTAAATACACTTTACTACTGAGTAAGGCTGTGTCTTCTTACCACCCTCCCGGGAATGGTCTTGGCTATTTCTGTGTGTTTTCCCAGCGAACTTGGGAATCCGCTTGTCCAGGTCTGACAGGAGTCCTGTTTGGCGTTTTTCATTGGGGTCTGACCTTGACGGGTGCATTAGGAGGGGCAGGTGTTCCACCTCTTTACAGGGCGGGGGAGCTGTTTGTGAAAGGGGTCCGTGCGGTTTGCAGGTTGTGGGTTTTTGTGTGTTCGGGTTTTCCTATGTGTCGGGTGGGAGTGTTTTAAATGATAAAAAAAGCACACTTCTGGCCAAATACGTGAATTGCTTATCTTTCCACTTCCCTGCAACCTGTTTGGTTGAAAGACCAAATCCTTCTTTCATTCCTCGCTGATGGCAGGTACCTGGAACAGTTCTATAAACTGAGGAAGGGAAATGACCTTGACCTTGGGGCTGGAATTAGCCTCAGGGAGATATTTTGTTCTTTGGAAAGACTTAGAAAACTATTAGTTATTATGGAATCTGCCCCCATCAAACTTCCATGTCTTTAGGGTCAGCGTGTGATTTTTTTTAACACTTGAGATTTTCAATGCTAATGTTCAGTTTGTTGAAATGTACATTCACTAACACCATCCCGTGGCTTTTACCCCATGCTATTAACATGCCCATAGGAATCACTTCATTTCTTTATTTTGTAACGATCACATCGAGGGTAACAGTACCTTAACCAGCGAGCCACTGTAATTTGAAAACTTGCGGTCTGACTAATCACTAATGATTCTCAACGCTTTCTCTTTTTTTGTTTTGTTGTGTTGCATCTTTTTGTTGTTCGTTTATTCCTTTGGCATCTTCTTAAGTCTTCATGCCTAAGTTACCTTCATGCGATTTTGGACGCCATTAGGTTTTGCTTCTCGAAAATTTTTAATTCACACGTCGTATGTTGCGCTTCCTCTTGTTTGTTTGAGCCTCACTTCAGTTTGCATGTGTCTTTTGGTTTGACTGTGCTGAGTTGATCTCCTTTTGGTTCCGTTATTTATGTTGCCATCCATTTAAAACAGGCCACGGTGGAAGCCATCATGAGGGATAAGATGCCCAGGAAGGGAGGAAGATGGTGGTTCTCGTGGAGGGGAAGGAGTACCACGATCAAGGAGGTAAGCGTGGAGCGCCAGGGAGCGTCCGGGCGCAGCTCAGTGCGTTTCGGAGTTTCTCTAGGTCTTCCTCCACCGGCATCCGCAGAAGCCGGAGCACAGAGCTTTCAGGAGGCCGCTCTGCCCCGGGATGGGAGGGCATCACAGAGCGAGCGGAAGCTGGAGGAGAAGGGCCCGAGGGGAGGGGGGCCGAGCAGAGAGCTGGCCTCACCTCCTCGCTCTGCTGCCTCTTAGCTCGGAGACCCTGGTCCAGTCACACTTTGTAAAAAAGTATTTTATTCATTTCAGAGAAGGAGGGAGAGGGGGAGAGAGATAGGAACATCAGTGATGAGAGAATCGTTGGTGGGCTGCCTCCTGCACACCCCCCTGGGGATCAAGCCCACACCTGGGGCACGTGCCCTGACTGGGATTTGAATCATGACCTCCTGGTTCGTAGGTTGACGCTCAGCCACTGAGCCATGCCAGCGGGGCTGGTCCAGTCACTCTTCATCTGTAAAAAGAAGGGATTCAACCTGATGGGTGAACCTTTTTTCAGGTTAAATATTTTCCTCTGCGTGTGAGGATCGTTTTAGTGAGGTATCCTCACGGCTGTAGGCTAATCACCATCAGCCCGTCCTTTAGTGGTGTGTCGGGGTACACGGGGCTTTGCTTTCCATCACTGTAAATGCCTGTCCCTGTTTTCAGACCTTTGTCTGCCTCCCAGCCTGTTCTCCCATCATTCTCTCTGCTCCCAGGCCACGTGTCCCCCGGCTTTCCCCTCGGGCTCAGCCCCCCACGAGGGTTCTCGAGGGTTGTCTTGGGGTCCCCTCTCCCGCTTCGATTGCCTGCTTCTCCCTGGGCAGCCTCACCCACGCCCCTGTGAGGACCCGCTTCATTTCCAGACCAGACATTCTTTTATATTCGATGCCCATTTAGCAAGTGGCCAGCTAGGCAGGCATCTCCATGCGATTGCTTCAGGACCCCTCAGGCCTGTCGTTTTTGATGCTGAGCTCACCATTGTCCTGCCAGTTCCTTCGCTGGGCCACATTCAGAAAGGGGGTCGCTGCCCACCCGCAGGCTCTACGCTTCCCTTCCTCACTCTCACTCCGTCCCTCCCAGCTCCACCACTCACCGTCCTAAGTATTTCCCAGATTTTCCAGTTCTCTCTACCTTCACTCCCACACACGGAGGCTGCGTGATCTCTCCCAGGATCGCTTCCAGATGCACTGCCTGGGTCTGTTGTTGCCCTCTCTCCATCCTTCACACGCAGTCACAGTGTGCTCTTCAGGGGGCTGGTCCAGTTCATGTGCTCCCGCCTTAGAACCTTCTGGTGGGTTCCTGGGGTTCTTCTAATTAGGACCCCCGTCCTTAACATGGTCACAAGACTTGGGTGCCCTAGTCCCTGCTCCCTCTTTAGCCTCATCTTTTGCATTCTCTCCCCCGTCCTCTGGGCTTAAGCGTCACTGGCTGAAAGCACATTCTACCCCAGGACCTTTGCACGTGGTGTTTCCTCTGCCTAGTGCTCTTAGGACCCTTCTCGTTCCTCTTCACTGAATTAGCTGGCAGATAGTCTGCTCTGCTGTTCTCTGCTCTCAGAGCCAGGCCTGTGAACTTTTCCTTCATTCATGACTTTGTCAGGGTTTGTGATTATACACATCTTAGTGTGGGTATTGGATGAACACCTTTTCCCCTCTAGGCCCCTACCCCCAGGGAGGCCGAGACCATGTGCCTTTGATTGCTGGGTGTCCCCGGTGTCCACATGGGACCCAGAGCGGGGGTCGGGCAGATACTCGGGGGAATGCTGATCGCTTTTGGAAGAAACCCCAAGGACAACGGTCCGGCTGGTGGTTAGAAGAGTAAAAGCAGCCTCAGTGAGCTCAGGTTCTGTGTCCCGTTAGCTCAGAGGGAGGAAGTGTGGGAGGACCTTATGGAGATGAAGTTGTCCTCCGCCGTCTCCTGCTCACAGACCTGAGCTCACTGACTGTTCCACTATTCCCAAGGCACCTAACCAGGTTAGAACAAACACGTGCTTTTCCTCAGGAGACAGAAAGCCTGGGCCTCTCTGGGTCCCTACAGGAGGGCAGGCTGTTGTAGGATTTAGGCAGACGGCTACCTCAGAGACCTGTTTATTGTAGAGTATCTGGTTTCTCACCAGTCTGGGTTGAGGGGAGTGCCAGCATGAAATAAGGAACAGTTAGGAAATTACATATTTTTAAAATAAATGTACTTATTTCAGATTGATAGCTATTTAGGAACCAGACTAACAAAGGATCGTTAATACTGAGTTACCTGCCTCAACAAATAGATGAGAAATTACCGGGCATGTTATCACACCGATGATTCGTGTGCCTAGAAAAAGCTAAAGAATGTTTCAAAGTACTTAGAACTCACCCTAGGTTGAGATGCTCACCTGCTGTTATATTTTTTATATCAGTTATTTTTTAAATATTAAAAATTAACCTACCCCCTGAGCAGATGACCACACATGAGACTGAATTGAACATCCTCTGTCCCCTGACACTCCTGTCCGGCCGCTGACCTCCCGTGGCCCGTGGGGCGTGGCATCTCCTTCCCGCGCGGCTGTGGGCTGGCGCTGTGTTCACCCGCAGCATCGCTGCCCTCGTGGCAGCGTTAGGGGTGGAGGTCCCCTCCCGGTTCACAGGCGGGAGGCCAGGCTCGGGGCTCCGTGACTTGCCCCCGGATCCTACGCGAGAGAAGGGGACCGGCCCAGATCCCTCAGAATCCTGGGGCGCCCCGGTCCATCGGAGCGTTTTCTACTAAAAGCAGGCAGCACTGAGAAAGAGCGACTGTCCACATTTTCCCAAGAAAATACGGTGTGAGAATATTTCAGGCGCCTCTATCAGCAGTTAGGAGGATACTTTCTCAGAGCCCTCGCGTCTCCAAGCAGCCCTCGATGCCGCCTTGCACACAGCTACAGCGATGATGAAGTGTGGCTCACACACTGTGGAAAACACTCACTTCTGTTCTCAGCTTCATTGTGTACCTACGTGCAGAGGGCTCGCAGGGCCCTGCCTGCCCGGGGCAGGGCCGTGGAGGAAGGCTCTGGGCCCTGGCCTGGGCTTAGGGGGTGCCCATCGGGGCCCCCAGCCCTGTTCTGGTGCTTCTCTTCAGTGCACCCTGATCTCCTTCCTTCTCCAGGAAAGTAAGCCGGAGCAGGGCCTGGCTGGCGAGAGCCACAGCACCGGGGAGCAGCCGCCGCCGCTCAGCATGGCCACCAGGTACCGTGCCAGGCGGCTTGGGGTGGCAGCGCCTTTCCGGTTCCAGGGCCAGGGCGCAGGCCTGGTGGGTGCTGCTGGCACAGCGCTCGCCGAGCAGCACGGCCTTGGACCCGGTGGACCCGGTGGCGGGCCTGGGTTCCACCGGCTGTCGTGTGTGGAGGGACGTGGAGCCATGTGCTAGGCTTCCCGCCAGTCAGACGGAGACGGTCGCTCCCTTAGAGACTGGTTTCCAGACGCAGTGTCAGGCTGGCGTGGTGGAATGTAACCAGCGCGCTCGGTCCTGGCCGCGCCAGCAGCGGTGACACTGGTGGCGGCGGTGATGGCCGACGGGCAGTCCCTTCCCTCCCGAGGACGCGGCCTTCCTCTGTGGTCCCCATGCCAGGACTTAGGCTGCTGCCTTTCTGCGTGGTGATGGGGGTCCCTGTGAGCCCGGCATCGGAGGCGTGAGATGTTGGTAATGCCGGCCAGCGTCAGCCAAGTTTCATCTTCGAGTTGATCGGGATCCGGGGTAGCTATGCTCCGCGGGCAGTGCCATCGCCGCTCACGCTGCGGCTGCTGCGATGGACACCGAGCGCGGGTCCCACACCTCCTGCCATCGCCTGGCCCGGCCGTGCTCCCGGCGTAGGCAGCGGGATGGTGCTTCTTACTACTCAGCGGGCAGGGAACGCTCACAGTTAACTGAAGGCGAGATGCGCATCCTAATGCTGATCATCTTTGTGCCTGGGAGGCCCCCCCCCCCACCCCCGTGCCGACACGTGGCGGGCTCTTCATGGAGGTGGTTGGGCGTCACTGAGCTGATGCGATGCCCCCAGGATGTTGTTGCTTCGAGGAGAGGTGGGCTCAGAGTTCAAGTCCTCAGCCTCCCTCCCGGCCAACGCCGTCTCCCAAACTGTCGCATTTCGAAGTTCGCTGTGGGGAATAGAAACGCGGGCAAGTGGCATGAGGAAACGGCCTGGTTTCGCCTCTGCTCTCTGTGTCCCCGATGACGTTGTGTTTGAAGGTGACGCGCTTTATGTGAGCCGTTTAAAGAAGAGGCCCCTGTTCCCCCCGCACCTCCCAGCCCCAGACGGGGCGTCCGGAGAGCAGGAGCCTCGCATGGGTTCTGTGCAGCCCCCCGCCAGGCGCCTTGCTCCCAGGATGGCCCACTCGGGGACTCCGGGAGGGGCGAGTCCCCCGTCTTCACTGGCACCACTGGAGGGTCCCGGAGTCCCTAGTTACTTGACATTGTGGGTGTGGAGAGGAGACCCAGGGAGCTCATCAGTTGACGGGTAGAAATTCAGACTCCAGGTGCCTGTCCAGCGGTCTCGGTGGGGTGGGGTGGGGTGGGGGTGGAGGGAGCAGGGAATGTGCGTGTCCTTCCAGGCGAGGGGGTCCGACCCTGCTTCTCAGGGAGAGGGCCTCTGGGTGCCTCGTAGAGCGATGGTTGCTGGTGACAGGTCGTGGCTGGGAGAGCAGCCCCTTGAGTGCTAGAGCGTGCGGAGGGGTTTAGTGGGCTCGCTGGTACCCACAGTGGCCTCTGGTGATAGGCCACGCGGGGCAGCGCTCAGGGGAGGCCGCGAGCCCTCCATGGGTTCTGGCCGAAAGCGGTTTTCATGGCCACCCAGATGCATGTCCTCATTGGTGACGACATCACTGTGTTCTAGAATGAAGCAGGAGTCGTCCTCCAGCGATGAGGAGCACTCAGCTGCCAGGCCGTCCAGCGCCCCCCTGCTGCCCCTGATGTCCAACGTCGGCTACAAGAAGACCCTGCGGCTCACGTCGGAGCAGCTGGTGAGCGGCTC